GCCCCCCCCCGTCCCGCCCCGCCCCCCCCCCCCCGCCGGCTTCCCCCGAGGCTTTCAAAGCTGCTGCGGCTTTGCTCCTGGTGCCTCTGGTCTGCTGGGGACCGTCTCCAGCAGACCAGGGACACCGGGAGCAAAGGAGGCGGAGGGGCGCTGGGGTATAAGATGAAACCCTATCTTTTAATTAAAAAATTAGGGGGTCGTCTTATATGCCCAGTCGCCCTATACGCCGGAAAATACGGTATTTTTGTTCTTGTCTGTTCTTCAGAAGCAATGTAACTAGAGGGAACAGTAGGTTGTATTCTATTCTTGTGCATCGGCAATATTTTTTCTTTTACTAATGTCTAATTATTTACACATGTAGAAGTCCCTTTAAGGAAATGAAAATACACAGCTACGTCTGAAGGTCTAAGCTACCCTGAGAGAACCTTTTGTTGGTGACAATGCCTGAATTGGAAAAAAAAATCCACTTTTTATGCTCTTCTATTGTCAACTGAACACATTAAATAGAAAAGTCCTAATATCGTACCCAGGGGAACCAGTAATGTTGTTTTTAAAGTCATAGCCAAAGTATAATTGCACATTCAATGTGTCCCACGTGTTAATATCTCTTTAAGAATTAACTTTGTACAATTCCCACAGAAATAACTGTTTATGGATTTTCCCCCTTTTTTACTTCAGATAATTGGATTAAAGCCTGAAGGAGAACCATACATATCTTGTACATCTAAGGTGAGTATTGAATAAAAATATGCAGGGTCACAAATACTTAAGTGCTAAAAGCTAAGATTTTTAACTTCATTTTTCTTTGAAACTTCCAATAATTTTTAAATCCGCATTTTCATTTATTTTATTAGCTATTTCTATTTTGTGTTTATGCATGTTAGTATTTCAGCATGTTTAACTTTTTCATACAGGTAACTTTTTTTCTTATGTCAATTTAAAATTTCTTTTGTTTTTCCATCTTTTATATAATTAAGACTTATGTGAAAATCAGATCTGACAAAGCTGAAGCATAAAGTATGTGTGTAAGCTCTTGCTCTTGCTCATATTCGTTTTTTTTAAATTTTTTACTTTATTTTTACTAGTGCAAGTTTGTATTTTGTTTTTCCATTTCATAATCAATGTTTTTGTTTCTCTCCATGCTGCACGTGCATCTTAGAAAATGTGTATATAAATGATGGGTAAGAGACAAGTGGGCCTTCTAAAATGTTTAATGTTTATCAAATAAAACTTCATATATAATATGAAGTTTATCAAATAAAACTTCATATATGATATGAACTTATAATATTAATGGATCTGTTCATTTGTTGTATACCTTAGCATGTGTGAAGCATTTCTTACAGTCCAGATTATTTAATTAGCCTGACTTCTTCATGTGTACAATGCGTTGGGGGCTCCCCCATCTCTTGGGACTGATACGTGATATGCTGAGACCCCACTGATCCTGTTTTCCCCAGCAGCTTGGGCACCCTGTAACCCTGTCTTATTGAGCCCAGCTCTTCAGCCTGCTTCAACTAAGACACAGGGATAGGGTCACACTCCCAAGACTGCAGACGCACCCTGAAAACAGTGTAGTGAGACCTTTTGCCCCTCTAGAGGCTGAACCCCAGATAAATCCACCGTATGTTGTATATAGATCTATATAGTATAAGTTTATGAAATTCTCTGTCATTATCAATGTAACTTGAGAAAAGCATGGACTCCTTGTATCCTTAGGTAATAATTACTTACACTGGATTTATTAAACAGAAATGATTTTATTAAGTATAAAAAGTAGTATTTAAGCGTCATAAGCAGGATTCGACAAATCCGTGTATCTACTCGCCCGTGGCAAGTAGATTTCAGCTGGTAACCCCGTTCACCAGTCTGGCGCATGCGCGGTGCGGGGCTGGCGCGTGGATTTCACCGCGGTTTGTCGAGCCCTGGTCATAAGAGTGCATGCAATAAAGTTAGTTACTAAGAAAATAAAACAAACACACAAACTAAGCTTAATCCACTAAAGAAACTAGTTAGAATTTTTAGGGTGAGTTAATTATTGTAATAGTCATCTTCACAGACCAGACATCCTTCTAGCCAGGGGCCAGTTCCTTCCCCCCCAATTCAGCCTTAATTGTTTCCAGTGGTCATCTTGGGTGGAGTAGACAGAGAGAGCTGACAACCAGGATTACCTAATTTCTCACTCTTAAACAGGATTTGCATAAGGCTGGAGTCCTTTGTTCCAAGTTTGACCCCCTCCATCTTCTTGTGAAAGATGGATTCCAGCATCATGTGACACACTCATATAGGGATGTTAGTATATAACCATTTGAACGATTATCCGATAAGCCTGGGCTTATCAATTAATCCAAATGACTACACACACTCTGTATAAGAGGCAGGCAAGGGGGGGGGAGGTGGGAGCTTGTGCATGCTGGGAGCCATTTTTTAAGCACCAGATCCTGCAGAGCCACCTGTCTTTTCTCCCTTCCCCTCATGCTGCTTCCTCTGATGGGCAGCAGCACAGAAGATGAGGGGGGGCAGGTGGCAGCTGGTACACGTGGGAAGCCATCTTTTAAGCTGGCTCCCTGCGCGTATCAACTCCTGTCGAATCGCGTGCCCTTCCCTGCGCTGCTGCTTTTCCGTTAGAAGCAGCAGCATGGGGAGGGGAAGAGCAGGCGGGAACCAATATGCATGGGCAGCTAGCTCTGCAGAGCTGCTCCTCCTCTTACTGCCTCCCACAGAAGCAGTGAGGCGGGGCAAGCAGGAGCTGATGCTGGGGGGCGGGAGGGCTGGCTTAAAAGCCGGCTCACCACGAGCACCAGCTTTGTGGAGCTGGCTCCTCCTCCCACACACACAGCTGCCTCTGTTTTGGGGGGGAGGTCAGAAGGTGGGGTGTTGGAGCAGCCTCTAGCCATGGGACCTCGAGCCCCCCACAGAAAGGGGCTGCTGCGCTGCACTGCACTGAGGAAGCAAGCAGCATGGGGTGCCAGGTGGCTCCCCAGGATCACCCTGGGAAGGAAGTTCAGGTCCAGGATTGGTATTGATAATTAAGGGTCCTAGGTAATTCCTCCTGTATTATTTTCATAATGTTTTCTAAAAATCTCAGCAAGGTTGATATCTCTGTTCACCAGTTGCTACTGCATTAGCCATGGAACATTTCCTGACTCTTTGTAGCCCATATGTGTTTAACTCTATGTAATCAACCAGCATTCCATTGTATGTAGGGCAATTTAGCTTGTGCAGATTTGATCCAAAAGCCAAAGCTGGTGTCTGCCATATTAGAGATGTCGATCCTTTTCCCAGCTCTGCCAAAAGTGACCTTGTACAACTTTTGTTACCTTACTGTAAAGTGGGGGGATGTGAGGCCTTAGTGAATGAAAGCTTGTAAATACACTGAAATAATAACAGTAGACGGAGGACAATAAGTTCATGATCTTCTGGATTCCTAACCAGTACACCACCTCAACCTACTTTCTATGTATCTCTCTTTGTCACTAACCTAACCTGCCCCAGGAACATCTCACAACCTGGTTTGTTAGGTGCCCCAATTCACTTCTTGTTCTTAAGAGTCAAAAATAAAAGGCAGAGGCTTTTTAGGTAATGGAGTTTGTTCTTGATGATAGGAAATGAGATCCCCATAGAAGGCAGTGTATATGCATTTCATGTTTGTCATGGTCTGTTCACAAAAATGTGTTTGTAAAAAAGTTAAACAATGGGGTTTTGTTTTGTTTTTTGGGTTAGCCTTTATCCCAGGAGCTCCTTTGTCGAATGACGTAATCTTTCACCAAAACTTTACCCTTAACCGTGAACTGGTGTGTCAATTTTCACCGTGAACTGGTGTGTCATCCTTTGTCGAATGACGTAATCTTTCACCAAAACTTTACCGTTAACCGCGAACTGGTGTGTCAATTTTCAGATGGGTCCTAAATGTGCATTTTAGGGAGGTTTGAAAATTGGGCTTACAACAGAAATCTAGCTGCCACACTAAATATGGATTTGCTATTGCTTCTTTACAATAGACATTTTATAGCTTTCCAGTGGATATTTGGACATTCAGATACTCTATTTCCTTACATATTTTGGTTATATGGGGGTGAGGTGAGGATTGAAGTGGTGGGGTATTTTTGAACATCAGTGGGTGGAAAATAAAACTTATGTCTGTTCTGACTTCATTTATTTAAAGAAATATTAGTATTATGCAGGATTCAATTTTAAGTTAAAATCTGTTTTGTGAAATAAAATTGGCCATTTCAGATGACTAGTAAAAAGTTAATGTATTAAACATTTAACAAGTGGAAGTCTGTATGAATCTTGTATTTTGGCAAAGATAGTTCACTCTGTTGTGGAAACTATTTTAGCATTGCAGTGCTCAAATATTTTTGTAGAGTTTTGCACTTCATTATAAGAACATCATACTTTAACCTCTTTTTGTTAAAATGGGAATTAACTTTTAATTGTTCTCTTCAACCATAGGAAGAAGGCATGGTTCAGATAACTTCTTTTCCTCCTGGGGGAATGATTGATTTAATGTATTTTCCATACTATGGGAAATATTTACACGTAAGTATGTTTTAATGATAGTCATGTGTTTTTGTGGGGTATTTTTTGTAAATTTTTTTAGACATTTTTAGGATCAATCTATGATGATTATTGCATTGTTCAGTCTTTAAATTTATAATAAAATACACGTATGCAATATTACCTACCTTATCAAGTACTCTGAAATACCCGCATAAGACCTGGGCTTTACCTGCCTATGCACAAAAAAATAGATGGGGCTTTACTGTCATCTTACTAAAGAAAATAAGACTGAGGTCACACTAACACGATTTTATTAATTTTGCTGTACTTTCCATAAGTGATATGTTCACTCACTCATATATTACTAGGTCTCAAATGAAAATGGTGGTGGATAGATCAGATAGCCCTATCTATAGTAGAGTTATTAGATAGGAACTAGTTATTGATGTGATTAGTACATACACCATATAGTTAAACTTGGTTGTTAATAACCATACAGCTATCAGTTTTTGCCCTTGACATAAGTCTAAACTGTTACATTATTTTTCCAAAATTTGGTTCATTACGCTTTTTTTTGCCAGTGCTATTAGTGTCATATTCTTCATAGCCTCAGTATTTTTAAGACTTTCCCAGAATTTGCTAATATAAATACTTAGAACCCTGCAAATCCATGGATATCCCACTTTATATCCGCAAATGTGAATGCAGATATTTATAGTTCATTTTTGCGGATAGGTATGCAGATACCAACTTTATATCTAGAACCCTGCAAATTTGCAGATATCTGCTTTATATCCACGGATATCTGTGTCCACAGATGTCAATGCGGATATCCATAGCTCATTTTTGCAGATATAGATACAAATTTTGTGTCCAGGCAGGACTCTCTAAATACTGTTAGTATGCTAAGTGCAAATATACAAACCTAGTTTTCGTTTTGTTAACCACACAAAATTCATTCACACACTTTAGGAGTACCCTCCCTCACCTGTTTCTAGGTCTCAGGTGTAACCTTACACTCTTCTACCACAAAAAGCGGCCTGTGAATTTCATTTGGTGACCCCTAGTTCTTATATTGTGGGAATAAGTAAATAACTTTTCCTTACTCACTTTTTCCACACCAGTCATGATTTTATAGACCTCTATCATATCCTCCTTAGTCTCCTCTTTTTTACGCTGAAAAATCCAAGTCTTTTTTTATGCTGAAAAATCAAAGTCTTTCTAATTTCTCGTCATATGGGACTAGTTCCAAACCCCTAATCACTTTCGTTGCACTCTTCTGAACCTTTTCCAATGTCAATATCTCTTTTGAGATGAGGGGCGACCACATCTGTACACAGTATTCAAGATGTGGACGTACCATGGTTTTATATAGAGGCAATAAAATATTTTGTCTTATTCTTTATTCCTTCCTAACATTCTATATCCTTTTTTGACTGCCGCTACACACCAAATGAATGTTTTCAGAGCACTATCCTGAAAGACTTCAAGATCTCTTTCCAGTAGTTATAGCCAAACTAGTCCCCATCATTTTGTATGTATAGTTGGGATTATTTTTTCCAGTGTGCATTACTTTACATTTATCAACATTAAATTTCATTTGCCATTTTGTTGCCTAATCACTTAGTTTGGTGAGATTTTTTTGAAGCGCTTTACGGTCTGCCTTGGTCTTAACTATCTTGAGCAGTTGGTATCATCTGCAAATTTTGCCACCCCAACTAGATAATTTGTAAATAAATTGAATAGGATTACCGATCCTTGGGGGACCCACTAGTTCCTTTTGAAAACTTACCATTTATTCCTACCCTTTGTTTTTTACTGTCTTTTAACCAATTATCAGTCTATGAAAAGACCTTCCCTCTTATCCCAAGATAAACTTATCTTGATGGCCAGTCAGAATCAGATCCATCTGAAGGACTCCAGTTTCTTTATGGTGTCATTGGCACAGGGCTGAGATCTGGCAGCTCTGATCTTGGAACTGTGTCCTGGAAGAACTTCCTTTTGGGCCCCACTTGATATAGTGAAACTTGAGTCCTGCTTCCTTATACCTTAAACCAATTATTTCATTAAAATTTTACTAACCAATCCCAACATTGTAACGTAATTCCCTAACCAATGAGATCCTACCACCTCAATTGATTTACACCTAGCAAAATTATACAGCAGATAGAAACAGATAAGGCTTCCTCTGTGGTAGTGGAGGTAGTACAGGCAGTCCCCGAGTTACGCGGATCCGACTTACGTCGGACCCGCAGTTACGAACGGGGATTTCTCGCCCCGGAGAACTAGAGCAGCGGGACGCCTGGTCCCGCCGCCCGCCTTCTCCGGGGCGAGAAAAGCTGCTCCCCGTCTCCCTGGTCTGCTGGCAGAGCCAGCAGACCAAGGAGATGGGAGCAAAGCGGCAGAGCACCGGGGGCCGGACCCGCGGCCGCTTCCAGATCAGCTGGAAGCGGCGCGGGTCCGGCCGGGTGCTCCGCCGCTCTGTTCAGCGTCTCCCTGGTCTGCAGCTGATCTGGAAGCGGGCGCGGGGCTGGGCC